TATTTTCAAAAAGAACTTTGGAAAAATTACACTGAATCAAGGGACAATAATAAATTTCTCTTCACAGTATTGAGATATTTTAAGGTGAATGAAAATAATTTGATAAAATTTAATTTTAAATAATTGTAAATAAAAAATTTTAAAAATAATTTTTATAGCTCATTGATGAAAGTGATTCTTTTGAAATAATTGCCGATTCAATTCCATTACTAATGAATGGAATACGAATGATGTGGGTACTATCAAAATATTACAGTATTGAAAATAAAATGGTACCATTGCTTGAAAGAATTTCATGGCAATTATGTCAAAATGTGATGAAAAATCTTTCAGTCAAAACACTTTTTAAGTAAGTAAAGTAATTTTTTATAGAAATTTGAAAAAAAAAATTTGAAATAATTTAAATTTTTTTTTTGCAAATAAAAATAGAAGACCCTTGGAGGAAGTGTTAAAAATGACACAAAACGCTCATGAAATGACAAAAAAATGGAAATTAACTTATCTTGAGACAAGAAGAAATATTGAAGAATCAGGCAAAGGTGTAAGATGGGAATTTGATCAACGTCGTTTATTTAAAGAAACAGAATATATATCAAATGTATGTAGGGATTTAAATACAATAGCAAGTGTATTGGAGGATTTTTATAATATATTTGGAGCTGAATTAAAATCAATTATCAATGATCCAACGCAAATTGATGCAATTATTAAACGTGTTGGTAAATTAACATTACCAATTCAGGAAGCTGATTTTAATATATTTTCTGAATTTAATAGAGAAAATTGGGATGCAACAATGAATTGGTTTAATACACAAGTATTAAATTTAGAGAATGATGCTAAAAATTTTATTGACGAATGTTTTATGGTACTCATAAATGCCGAGGAGGCACTTTATATGTTAATTAAATTTAAAAATATGAAAACAAGAACGGCCATTCAAGATCAATTGTCCAAGAAATTTGATGTTATTATGCAGCAATTTAGCAAGGAAATTGGAATTGTTGAGGACATATTTAATCAGGGTGAGGCAACAATTTTCTGTTAATAAAAAAAAAAAAAAAAGAAAAAGAAAAGAAAGTTAAAAATAAAAATAAATTAGACAAAAATAGAAAGCAAAAATTAAATTAAAAAATAAATTTCATTAATATAAGGTAAAAGAAAACCACCGCTTTTGGCACATCATTCACCAATTGCCGGTGCAATTTTATGGGAAAGAGAATTATTTCATCGACTCAAAGATTCTGTTTTATTATTTCAAAATGTCAAAGAATTGGAAAACAGTGATTTAAAACATTTTGCATTTTGCCAATATATGGAATTGGCAAAACAAATGAAATTATTTGAGGAAACAAAATTTTTCACATGGCTTGAGAAAGCACAATTTATTGCTGTAAATTCGATAAAACAAAGTATTCTCACAATAGAATCTGGTAAATAATTTTTTTTATGAATAAAATTTATTAATTTTTTTTTTTTTGTAAATGTTCATAAAAATTTAATTAATTATTTAAAAATTAATTTTAAAAAAAACAAAAAATTCATTTAGGAGACGGTACAAAAATTCCTCTTTATGATAGTAGAAAGAAAAAATCCAAGACTAAAGAACGAAGTATCCTTACAGCCCACTCTAATACGGCTTCAGAATCTATTAAGCGAAGCGAACGATTTTTATCCAAATATAGTTTTGGTAGCATAAATAATAATTCCATTTCGTTAATTTGGTCCATTTGATTAATTATTATTATTATTATTATTATTAATATAACAATTATTGAAAAATATTTAAAAAATTCAGGTACAGGTGATTCTGCAATTGTTACTCTAAGATCAACTGTTGGTAAAAAATCATTCTATTCAGAGAGAAAGGATTCAAAATCAGAAAAAAGAGAAGAAATATCAAAAATTGAATTCTCATTGAAGGAAACAATATTGCCAACAATACCTGCATTACCTGAGAAAAAAGAGAGAAAAGTCACGTGGGCTGAAATGATGCAAGGATCCATTCTTATTGAACGTCATTTAAAATTTATATTGAATTTTGATTTATCAATTTTTGAAATAATTCGCGAGGTAAAATTTCACAAAAAAATTTTTTTTTGAATAATTTTCAAATTATTACTTTTTGAAAAATAAAATAAAAAAACTATTATTTAAAGAATTTACATTTTGTTTTAAGTTTTAAGAAAAAAATAAATCCATTTCAGGCTGAATTATTGGAACAACTTGGTTTCGAATTACCTGCAGTTATCAGAGATATCAGCATTCAAAAAAATCGATTACATGAAGATAAGGAGAACACGGAAAAAATGGTCAATCAGTATAATGAAATTCTTGACAAATTGGATCAAGTTGATGTAGAGAATTTTTTTTTAATTATAAATTTTACAAAAATATAAATATGAAAAAATATAATTATTTATATATATTTTTTCTAAATATATAATTTTATTTTTATAAACAGATAACATAATATAACAAATTTTAGAAAAAAAATTTAAAAAAGAATCGAATTTTTTTTTAAGATACAACTTTTGAAAAACACTTTGAAAAATATGGAAAAATATATGCAACCCGGAGTGACAAGATTGAATTGGCATTCATTGGGAATTAAGGAGTACGCTTCAGCTTGTAATAAATTATTGAAGACTTTAATTTCCCTAGTGTCTCAAGTTGATCAAATAAAAATGGATCTTGAAAATCGAATTAATTTCCAAGTTTATAATTTATGTTCAACAGCTCAAGATCCCAATGATCCAACTTATGAACTACAAAGTTGTAGAGTAAAATAATTTTTCTTTCCAAAAAATTTTATTTAAAAATAAAAGTTTTCACTAAATTAATTTTTGAAACAATTTTAAATGATTTTTTTTTTTTATATAAAAGACTTTTTTTTCACTATATAGGATTATTATCTTGAAATTGAAACAAAAAGAACGGAGGTAACATGCACAATGATAAAAATATACAACTCTATTTCTCCATTGTTGATTAAATTGGAAAGTCTTGTCGAAGAAACATCAACGGGAAAAAGTGAATCAATGCAATTGTTTTACGAAAAATATGAATATAAAATATTCGATGGTTTTGTAAAGTAAGTTATCAATTTCCCGATTGTTGAAAGACAAATTGTTTTTCCAAAAATGAAAATCAAATTTTTTGCAAAATAATATTTATTTGCAGATGTTTTATAAAAAATTTGGAATTAATGAATAATTTATTATCCGGTAATAAACCACTTTTTACTGTTGAAGCAATTTTATTAGCATCTGAGGTAGTTTTGAGACCATTGGCTGCCGAAATTTTCGCAATAATTCTACACGACGTGAAAGATTTAATGGATAGGGCAAAAAATTTTCCACGTTGGAAAAGAGGAACTTGTTTGGTCTATAAACCTGAATTGCAAATTGATTTGGAAATTTCTATTTTATTTCATTTTTACGAAGATATAATGAATATTAAAGTAAATTTATTAGTAAAATTATAAACAAAAGCTATTAAAAAATTTTAAAAAAATAATAATTTCTAAAAATTTGATTTTCAGATAATCAATGATTTAATAAAAAATATACAAGACACAGCGCATCGAATTTCGACAAATTGCTTTAGTTATCTTCTCAGATGGCGAAAATATTCACATATTTGGTATTTCGATAAAAAAAGTATGTGTGAAAAATTCATCAATACTCGTCCAACATTGAAAAAATATGATGAAAAATTTACATTATATGGAACAATTATTAATGATATTAATGAAATGAACAATTATTACGATCTTGGCAGCATCAGGTTTTTTTCTATTTAAAAATTTTAAATTAATCAAAAATTGATTTTTTTTACAATTTACTAATTGCACTGAAAAAAAAATTTATTTTATTCAAATACTCGATTACTTGACTATTATCAAATAAATATTTATTTGTATCAAATAATTATATTATTTGAGATGGTATTTGATTCAAATACAAAAATTATTGGTTCAAATACAATTTATTTAATTCAAATAAAAATTATTTGGTTCAAATAAATATTTATTTGATAATACTCAAGTAATTGAGTATTTGAATCAAATAAATTTTTTTTTCAGTGTGTTAAAAATATAGAATATAGGTAAAAATTTGAAAATTTTGTAAAAAAAATAAAATTAATTTTTCCAGAATCAATCTAAAACCACTACTTCAAGAAATTAGTGAACATGCAACTGAATGGAAAAATATTTTGGGAAAATATCTTTTGGATGAGACAATTGAATCAATGATTAATCTTAAGACAAAAATTGATAATTATCGTAAGGAAATAGAACTCGTTATCAGTGGATTGGATCGATTTAAAATTATAATGCAAGCAATTTCTGATGTTAAAAAAATGGCAATTCAAGCGGAAGTGCAATACCAATTGTATCAGGTTTAATTATTTTCTTTATTTTTAAATATAAATTATTAATTTGCTATTAATTTTTAATTAGTAATTTTTAATCACAAAAAAGACGCAAATTGATTGCAATTATATTTTGTTCTTGATAATTAGGAAACATTTCGAACTCTAAAAATGCATGAAATAATGTTTGATAAAAATGACGAAAATATGTCTTATAAACTTCAAGAAGATTGGGAATCACTTTATTTGGGCGCACTTTACAGAGCCACCACTTTAGAAAGTACAAAAGATAGATTTTGCGAAATGACAATTGAACAAATTGAAGATTTTAGTCGGGAATTTTTAGAATTTGTCAAAGATTTTGAATCCAATGGTCCAGGAAGCGTTGGTATTGATTTGGATCGAGGAATGAAAATGATGAGCGTAGGATTTTTTTAAATAGAAAAAAAGAATTTTTTTTTTTTGGTAAATCATTTTTTTTTTTTGGGGAAAAAAATAATTTTTTTTTCCAGGATTATGGAAAACAAATTGAATTATTGGAAGAGAAGAGACTCGATTTGGTAAATGCTGAAATTTTATTTGATCTTGAACCAACGGATTATACATTTTTTTTGAATACAAAAAAAAATTATGAAGGCATGGAATTATTGTATAAATTGTATAAACAACAAAAAAATTCACGTGACATTTGGTCAAAAACATTATGGATAAATTTAAATCCCCAACAATTAATGGATGGAATGGATGGTTTTTTGAAAGAATTTCGAAAATTACCAAAATCAGTTAGAGCACTCAATGTTGGATTATCATTGGAAGTGATAATGAAGGATTTTAGAAATTCTGTGCCACTATTTGTTGAATTAAAAAATGAAGCAATGAGAGAGAGACATTGGCAAGAATTAATGGATAAAACGGGAAAACATTTTGATATGTCACCTGATAGGTCCGAAGACAAATAAGTTATAAATTATTAATTATAAATTAAAAAAAAAAATTATGGACAATGTCAATTTACTGTCTAAATAATTTTTTTTTTTCCTACTGTAAAATATTTAAAGGATTTGAATGTAATATCAACATTTTAATGAGGATTATAATATTGTAAAAATGAAAAAATCTTCATGAAAAAAAAAAAACCCTATATTTTGATCCTATCCTTTACATACAAATTTCATGTTTTATGGCTTTAATATAAAAAAAAAATTTTTAGTTTTTTAAATTTCATTTCTAATTTAAAATTAAATTCCTAAAGAAGCCATAAAAAATGAATTTTAATTTGTAAATAATTAACTTTTACAAGAAATTAGTGACTTGTAAATAAAAAAAATTTTAAAAAAGAACAATTGACAAAATAATTAATTTACTACAAAACGCAAATAAAATAACGGACCAAATAATATGGAGGGGTGAGTAAATTTTTTTTTCACCAATTTTTAATTTTCTCCATCCCTCCGCAAATTTATACAAATTTGTATAAGAAAAATATAATTTTTTTTTTTTTATTTAAAAAAGGTTCACTTTGGAAAATATGTTCGCTATGGATTTGGCGAAACATCAAGAAATTGCGAAAATAATTGTTAACAATGCCATTAGAGAATTGGCCATCGAGAGAGGAGTGAAGGAAATTGCTGAAATTTGGACCACTATGGAATTTACAGTTATTAAACATTACAAAGGTTAATAATTTTATTATTAAAATTTTGTTTTAAAATTTATTAAAATTTATTTTTAAGTTGATTTTTTTTATTATTAAAATTTTGTTTTAAAATTTATTAAAATTTATTTTTAAATTTATTAATTTTTTTTTATTAAAATTGATTTAAAAAATTTAATTTTTTACTAAAAAGTATTGAAAAATTGAAATTTTTATTTAAATTTTCCCTTCGCTTTTATAATAATTACAGGAAATGAAGATAGAGGATTTATTCTTGCACCCATTGACGAATTGAATCAAGTTTTAGAAGACAATATGATGAATCTACAAAGTATGTCAGCATCACAATTTATTGGTCCATTTTTGGGGACCATTCAAAAATGGGAAAAATCAATGCAAACAATTTTAGATGTTATTGAAGCATGGATTGAATTGCAAAGAAAATGGATGTATTTAGAGGGGATTTTTGTCGGTGGCGATATTAGAATTCAACTTCCAGAAGAGGCGAAAAAATTTGACGATATTGATAAGACTTTTAGAAAAATAATGCTCGATACATCTAAACGTTTAAATGTTCTGGAATGTTGCTCAATTGTTGGTAAGTAGGAAAAAAAAATTATTAAAATTATCAATTTTGGATGCGGATAATTTTTTTTTTGTGAACACAAAAATTTAGAATTTTATTATTAATTTTTATAATTTTTTTTTTTTTATACAGGTCGTAAAGAAGAATTCGAAGCACTTAGTGCTGGTTTGGAGAAATGTCAAAAATCTCTAACTGAATATTTAAATAGTAAACGTGCAATTTTTCCGCGATTTAATTTTATCAGTGATGATGAACTTTTGGGAATTTTGGGCAGCACTGAACCAAATGTTATACAGGAGCATATTGGAAAAATGTTTGACAATTTGAGAAAATTTCGTTTGGGTCCCGATTTGGAGGGGAAAATTATTGCAAGCGCATTAATTTCGAATGAAAATGAAATTATGGAATTTAGAAATGCAATATTTGCTGAAGGAAAAATCGAAGAGTGGATGGTTCTTGCTCTATTGGAAATGAGAAAATCCAATAGATATTTAACAAAAAAAGCAGTTTACAGTTATGGCAAGGTGAGAATTAAATTTATTATTTATTTAAACATTAATTTATTATTAATTAATAATAATTATTATTAATTAATAAAAATTATTATTAATTAATTTTTTAGGAGAGAAGACCAAGAACCGAGTGGATGTTAGAATTTCAAGGAATGATGATACTCGCGGCAAATCAAATATGGTGGACCGCTGAAGTTGAGAATGTTTTTCAAAAAATTTCCCAAGGAAATAAACGTGCCATGAAGGAGGTATTTTAAAAAATTTTATTACAAAAAAAAATTTTTTTATTTAAAAAAAAATACTTGCAATTTTTTATTTTATTTATTTTTATATGGAAAAAAAATTAATTTAAAATGTCAGTAGTATTTGCAACAACTTAATAGTCAATTGGATGAAGTTGTAACTCTAATGGGAGGTGATAATCTCTCCAATAACGATCGTAAGAAACTTGATACAATTTTAACAGTTGATGTTCACATACGTGACATTATCGACGAATTTGTTAGGGACAGTATCATGGATCCTATGGAATTTGAATGGGAGAGTCAATTGAGGTATTAATTTCAAAATCGATAATGTAGATAGCGATTTTACCGACTGATGTCAATAAAAATAGCAAGAAATGTGAATCAGTCGGTAAAAATGCGATTTACATTATCGACTGTCGGTAAGAATTTCAAAAAAGCCGGAATCAGTCGGTAAAAATGCGATTTACATTATCGACTGTCGGTAAGAATTTCAAAAAAAGCCGGAATCAGTCGGTAAAAATGCGATTTACATTATCGACTGTCGGTAAGAATTTCAAAAAAAGCTTATTAAATGAATTATTAAAATTATTTTATTAAATGAATTAGATTTTACTGGGTTCACGATTTGGATAATGTTTGGATGAATCAATGTACCGGAAGTTTCGAGTATGGTTACGAATATATGGGACTAAATGGAAGACTTGTTATTACACCCTTAACCGATAGGATTTATTTGACAATTACACAGGCTCTTTCCATGCAATTGGGAGGTGCACCTGCAGGTGATTAGAATTATAAATAAAATTTGTAAAAAAAATGTAATAATTTTTTTCCCTTTTTTATTAGGCCCAGCCGGTACTGGTAAAACGGAAACAGTAAAAGATTTGGCAAAGGCATTGGGTCTTTTGTGTATTGTCACCAATTGTGGAGAAGGAATGGATTATGTTGCAATTGGTAAAACTTTAGGTGGATTAGCTCAATGTGGTGCTTGGGGTTGTTTTGATGAATTCAATCGAATTGACGTTTCCGTTTTATCAGTGATTTCCACGCAATTGCAAACTATCAGATCTGCATTGCAGAGTAAAGTTCAAACATTCACGGTTAGGAAATTAAATATTTTTTATTATTATCAAAACCTTGATTTTTAATTTTAAATTTCAATAGTTCGAGAATCAGGACATTGTACTCGATTCAAAAGTTGGAATATTTATAACAATGAATCCAGGATATGCGGGTCGTACAGAACTTCCGGAATCAGTTAAGGCACTATTTAGACCTGTCGTTTGTATTGTTCCTGATATGGAAATGATTTGTCAGATAAAATTGTTTAGTGCTGGTTTTTTAACAGCTAAAGTTCTAGCTAAGAAAATGACCGTTTTATATAAATTAGCCAGTGAACAATTAAGTAAACAAACGCATTATGATTTTGGTTTGAGAGCACTTAAATCGGTGCTCAATATGGCGGGTAATTTGAAAAGAACATCAGGAAATTTACCTGAGAATGTTGTATTAATGAGGGCTCTACGTGATATGAATCTACCAAAATTTATATTTGATGACGTTCCACTTTTTCTTGGTCTAATTAAAGATTTATTTCCCGGACTTGATTGTCCACGTGTAAGATATCCTGATTTTAACGATGCTGTCGAGGAGGTTCTTGAGAAAAATGGCTATATTATTCTTTCTGATCAGGTAGAATAAAAAAAAATTTCAATTTTTTGGAAAAAAGCATCTATTTTAATTGCATTAATTTTTAAGGTGGATAAAGTTGTACAAATGTATGAAGTTATGATGACAAGACATTCGACAATGATTGTCGGACCTACAGGTGGTGGAAAATCAGTGGTCATTGAAACTTTATGTAAAGCACAAACCTATTTGGATAAACCCACAAAACTTTTTGTAATGAATCCAAAGGTAGATTATAAAAAAAATTCTTTTTTTTAGAAATAAATGAAATTTTTATTATTCTTGTGCTTTATAGGCGTGCACAGTGGCTGAACTCTACGGAGTTTTGGATCCTTTGACACGTGATTGGACTGATGGTCTTTTGAGTAAGATTTTTAGGGAAATAAATAGAGTTGCCGAATTGGGAAAAGATGAACGGAGATATATTGTTTTTGATGGTGACGTGGACGCATTATGGATTGAAAATATGAATTCAGTTATGGATGACAATAAACTTTTAACTCTGGCCAATCAGGAGAGAATCAAATTACAAGATCATTGTAGTCTTCTTTTTGAAGTGAGATTGATTTTAAAATAAAATTATAAAACAGAATATTTCTTATAAAATATTCAATCACTAGGTAGGAGATTTACAATATGCATCGCCAGCCACTGTATCGAGAGCAGGTATGGTCTATGTGGACCCAAAAAATCTTGGCTATCAACCCTATATGGACAAATGGATAAACACACGATGTGAATCTGAAAGAGAATTTTTACAAATTTTATGTGAAAAATATGTTCACTCTGCAATTAAATTAATTATTGACGGGATGCTCGGTTTACAACAAGTACAACCTCTAAAAATGATCCTACCACAAACAGCACTAAATATGGTATGTTAAAAAATTAAATTATAAAATAGAGAAAATTGTATTTGACCTTTTTTTCGTCAGGTGGTTCAATTGTGTTACATGTTCGATGCACTGTTACCTGTTCAATTTGAAAATGAACCAATTTTAAAAGAAAGAAAAGAAACTTCCGCTACATTAAATACTGTTAATTTTGACGAAGAATTAGATTTAAGAAACGAACTTTTAGAAGCTGTTTTTATACAGTCATGTTATTGTTCATTGGGTGCTACTCTTGAGACAAATTCAAGAAGGACTTTTGATGATTTTATGAAAAAAGCATCGGGTCTAATGATGATTGAAGATACTCCAGAAAAGCCCGCAACAACACGTATACTAATTAACATTATCCTATAAAAATTGGCTAGTAATTAATTAACTATAATTAAATGTTTTTTTTTCATTACCAGGATATTTGCCAATTACTTTTCGCTCATTATACGACTATCTTTTGGATGTGAAAAAAAAAATTTGGGTCCCTTGGAAGGTACTTGTTCCCAAATATATTCACGATAGAAAAAAACATTTTAGTGATATTTTAGTGCCTACTGTCGATACTTTACGAACAACTTGGTTTATAAATCTGATGAATGAACTTAAGAGACCTGTGCTCTTGGTTGGCGAAACCGGAACCTCAAAAACTGCCATAATTTTAGAATTTCTGAGAAATCTAAATAAAGATAAATTCGTAAGAGAAAATATCTACTACTAAAATGCCTGGACTAAAATTAAAAAAAAAATGAATGACTATATAAATTGCAGAATCAACTACCGATAAATTTCTCATCACGAACAACTTCTTTGGATGTTCAAAGAAACATTGAATCGGCTGTGGAGAAACGAACAAAAGACATTTTTGGACCACCAATTGGAAAGAAATTAATTGTTTTTATTGATGATATGAATATGCCATTGGTTGATACCTATGGTACTCAGCAGCCAATAGCTCTCTTAAAATTACTCTTTGAAAGAGGTGGTTTTTACGATCGAGGAAAAGATCTCAATTGGATGAATATAAAGGACATTTGTATGTAGAATCATTGTAATTAAATTAATTTTGGAATTATAAAATAATAAAATTTAATTACCTTAAATAAACAGGCTTTTTGTCAGCAATGGGAAAAGCAGGTGGAGGACGAAATTACGTCGATCCACGATTTATCTCAATGTTTTCAGTCTATAATGTCACTTTTCCAGCTGATGAGACACTTAATTATATTTATACCAGCATTTTAAGTGGACACTTGCAAATATTTTCCGAAGACATTCAGCAAACAGCAACACCAATTATTCAAATCACTTTAGAACTTTACAAAGTACATTCTTTTTTTTCTTATTCAAATTATCGAAATTAAAAGTATAAAAGAAATTTTAATTGAATCTTCTATTTTCAGTTAATCATTGTTGAATTACCACCAACGCCTTCGAAATTTCACTATATTTTTAATATGAGAGATTTATCAAGAATCACAGCTGGACTTGTTCAAAGTGATCCACACTATTTTCCCGGTGTACAAAATTTTATACGATTATGGCGAAATGAATTTGTGAGAGTGATGTGTGATCGACTTATCAATGCTGAAGTAAGACGAATTTAAAAAAAAATATATACAAATTTTTGCCATTGCGTGCTGTTTTTAAATATAATTTTTTTCGAAAAATTTTAATTACACAGGATTATAAATTAGTCCGAGAGCATTTGGAGGGGAAAATAAAATCAATTTGGAAAGATGAACGACATATTATAGAATACGCTATGCGCGATCCTCTATTATTCGGTGACTTTAGAAACGCGTGCAACGAAGATGAACCAAGATTCTATGAGGATTTACTCGATTATGAAGCTGTTTACACTCTTTTTATGGAAGTATGTAAAAAAAAATTCTAAATTTTGTTATTTTTTGACTGAAATTTGGCAGAAAAATAATTTTTATATTTTATAATTTAATTGCACATAGATTTTAGAGGAATACAATGAAAAAGGTACCAAACTCAATATGGTTCTTTTTAACGATGCTTTGGAACATTTGACAAGAGTTCATCGAACGGTACGTCAACATCGTGGACATGTTTTGGTTGTAGGAATTGGTGGCAGTGGAAAACAATCAGTAATTCGATTGGCAGCCTTTGCGGCAAATTGTGAAATTTTCGAAATCACATTAAATCGTGGATATAATGAAAATTCATTTCGTGAGGATATGAAACAACTTTACAATAAAGTTGGTGTTGAAAATAAGCCAACAGTTTTTCTTTTTACTGCCGCTCATATTGTTAATGAGAGTTTTCTTGAAATAGTCAACAATATGTTAATGATTGGCGTTGTTCCCGCTCTATTTAGCGACGATGAAAAAGAATTAGTGATCAATTCTTGTCGAAAACAGGCAAAGGATGCTGGTTACGGTGTTACCAAGTTAGTTGTTTTTTTTTTTAAATCTTGTGAGAGTAAATCACGGTTAAAATTTTAATTTTTGTCAAACAGAGAAAACGTTTGGAATTATTTTGTGAATACAAGTGTGTCAAATTTGAAAATTGCCCTGTCAATGAGTCCGGCAGGTGATATTTTAAGATCTCGTTGTAGAAGTTATCCTGGTCTTGTTAATAGTACTACGATTGATTGGATGTTTCCCTGGCCTGAGCAGGCACTTTACGCTGTTGCCAATGTGATTTTAATCGATGTATGTTTTCCGAATCATTTTTTTCAAAAAATTGTTCTAAATCTTTTGGAATAATTCTCAATTCAAAATTTTCAGAATCCAAATATTCCTGAACTACATAGAGAATCAATTGTTCAACATATTGTTGACGTTCACATTTCTGTGGGTCATTACACTGAGGATTTTCACACAAAACTTCGAAGGAGAAATTACGTGACACCAAAACACTATCTTGATTTTATTAATACTTATTTGAATCTTTTGACAGAGAAGAAGGAATTTATCACAGGTCAATGTGAACGACTATCAGGAGGTAATTTTTTTCTCTTTCAACTTAAAGAAAAATTATATAAGAAAACAAAAATGTAAATTATGTTCTAAAATTTAAAATAGGATTAACAAAAATTGCGGAAGCCTCCGACACATTAGAGGAACTAAATGCAATTTTAGCCGTTCAAAGAATTAAAGTCGACGAACAGACGAAAAATTGTGAACAATTATTAAAATCAATTGGTGAAAGTACGAATATTGCTAAGGAAAAGCAGACAATTAGTATGGAAAAGCGTCAAGAGATTGAAGTTCAAAATAAAATAATTGTTAAAGAATCAAAAGAGGCAAAAACAGCATTGGCGGAAGCACAACCGGCTCTTGAAGCAGCTCGATTAGCTCTCAGCGATTTAGACAAAGCCGACATTACGGAAATTAGGTTGTCATTTTTGAAAAAAATTTGCTTTATATATTTAAGATAATAATTTATTTTTTATTTTTAAAAGATCATTTGCAACACCACCGGAACCGGTACAAGTTGTATGTGAAGCTATTTCCATAATTCGAGGGGCAAAAGAAATCTCATGGAAAATTGCAAAGGGAATGATGAGTGATCCAAATTATTTGCGTACACTACAAGAGATGAATTGTGATCTCATTACTCTTAAACAACAACAAATGGCCAAAGCACACTTAAAAAGATCCAATAAAATGGAACAAATGAAAATCATTAGTCAAGCTGGCTATGGACTTTATAAATTTTTACTAGCCGTATTAGATTACTGTGCAGTTTATCGAGAAGTAATAAAAAAATTACAAGAATTATTATTCTTTGTAATGATCTTAATTTCTAAATTTTATTTTAACGTATTAGGTGAAGCCTAAAATGGACCGTGTCGCAACTCTTGAGGCAGAGGCAGAAAAAGCACGAAAAGCCCTCGACAAAGAAGAAAGAGAATTAAAACGCATTGAAAAACAATTATTGGAATTAAATGCAAAATATGAGATTGCAATGGATGAGAGGCAAAAATTACAAGACGAAACAGATCTTCTTCAACGACGTTTAATAGCAGCTGATAAATTAATGAATGGTCTTGCATCTGAGAATATACGTTGGCAAAATGATTTAAAAAATCTTCGCGAGGAACTTGAGAAAATAATTGGCAATTGTTTATTATCAGCTGGATTTTTAGCTTACAATGGTCCATTCTCATATGAATATAGAAACGAAATGGTTTACAATAATTGGCAGAATAATATAATAAACAAAAAAATACCATTGACACAACCATTTCGATTGGAAACACAATTGACTAATGACGTTGAAATTAGCGGGTATGGAAAATAAAGAAAATTAGAATAAATCTTAGTGAGCCAATTCTTTTAAATTCTTTTGATTTTTTTTTTTTTTTTTTTTTTTTTTTTTTTTTTTACTTTTAAGATGGAATTCAGAAGGACTACCACCTGATGAACTATCGATACAAAATGGAATTTTCACAACAAGAGCATCAAGATTTCCCTTGTGCATTGATCCACAGCAACAAGCACTCAATTGGATCAAGAAACGGGAGGAGAAAAATAATCTCAAGATTGTTACTTTTAATGATTCAGATTTTTTGAAACAAGTGGAATTGGGAGTGACATATGGATTTCCAATTCTTTTTCAGGATGTTGATTTCATTGATCCAGTGATGGATAATGTTTTATCGAAAAATATCCAAAGTTGGTATAATTAAATTGGCTTTTACTAATGAATACGAGATTGTATCAAAATTTCCAAGTGAAATTTACATTTATAGAAATGTAAAATCAGGGAACTTTCTTCTACTACTTATTATATAGATATAAAGTTCTGCCTGATCAAAAATAGTTTTTACACTGAGAAAAAAATGCTATTGAATCAACTGCATTTCTGCCAAAGGTATAAAAATTATTGATTCAAAAGCATATGCTATAAAATTTGTAAAATATTTTATAGATTCTATAGCATATGCTTTTGAATCAATAATTTTTATACCTTTGGCAGAAATGCAGTTGATTCAATAGCATATTTTTCTCAGTGTACTACTATTATTTTTAATTAATTATAATAATCAGACTGAATTTTTTCTCCAAATTCTTTTTTTTATAATTAAATTCCCTCGACAACTTTCAGATATTTCTGGTCGAATATTCATTATAATAGGTGACAAAGAAGTCGATTATGATCCTCGATTTCGATTATATTTAACAACAAAATTTTCAAATCCTAATTTTAATCCTGCCGTTTATGCCAAAGCAACCGTAGTCAATTATACTGTGACTTCATTTGTAAGTTAAATAATACATTGAAAAAAAAAGATTATTTAATTCACTTGACTGAATAAATAAAAATTTACTCTTTTCTTTATAGGGTCTTGAAGATCAACTTTTATCAGTTGTTGTTAGAACTGAACGTCCAGATATAGAGGAACAGCGTGAAACTTTAGTTATTGAGACAAGTGAAAATAAAAGTCTTCTCAAAACACTTGAGGATAGTTTACTTCGTGAAATAGCGACAAACAAGGGAAATATGTTAGACAATATTGAATTAATTGAAACACTTGAAAATACAAAAACAAGTGCAAATGAAGTTATTGAAAAATTAAAATTAGCCGAAATAACAACAATTGATATTAATAAATTACGTGATCAATATCGATCAGCAGCTAAAAGAGGAGCAATTTTATTTTTTGTTCTCGCCGATATGTCAACTGTTAATTCAATGTATCAATATTCATTAATAAGTTATCTTGAAGTATTTATATATTCATTAAAGAAGTCATTGATTGATTTAAATTTGTCAAAAAGATTGAAAAATATCATTCAACAATTGACAAAAAATGTCTATAACTATGGTTGTACGGGAATATTTGAAAAGCATAAATTACTCTTTTCATTTCAAATTTGTACACGTATTGATCAGAATGTTGATTTAATAAAACAATCAGAATTGGAATTTTTTATTAAAGGAAGTGTTACACTTGAAAAAACACAAAGAATTAATCCAACAAAATGGCTACCGTCCAATGGATGGGAAGATATTTTGAAATTGGCAAATGATTTTCCTCGACAATTTTCGGAGCTTCCAATTCAATTGCAGGATCATGGGATCGAGTGGAAAAAAGTATGAATATAAAACGAATAAAACAAAATATTTTAATTAATCAATTAATTTACTAAATTAATTAAATATTAATTTGGTAAATTTTTTGAAATTATTTTTCTCATTCAGTGGTACGATTCGGATACACCAGAATCAGAGGAATTACCTTGCGATTATTCAATTAAACTATCGAGTTTTGAAAAATTATTATTGATACGATGCTTTCGAGTGGATCGTGTTTATCGAGCAGTGGTAAATTATATTAGTGAACGAATGGGTGAAGAATATATAACGCCACCAAATGTGAGCTTTGATATGATTTTTGAACAAAGTACACCAAGTATGCCAGTTGTTTTTATTTTAAGTCCCGGTTCAGATCCAACATCAGAATTAATGAAACTTGCCGAAAGATATGGCTGCGGTGGGGGTAAATTTCGATATCTTTCATTGGGACAAGGACAAGAAAAGGCATGTCTAAAATTCCAATTATTAATTATTTAATAATAATTATTACCTATAAGTAATTATTCTAAAAGAATAATTTTTTATTTTTAGACAGCTGTAGAATTACTAGAAACAGCAGTGGCAAGGGGTCAATGGCTAATGTTGCAAAATTGCAATCTTTTATTAAGTTTCACGAGGAAATTAGAAAAAATAATTGATTCAATGGGAAAGCCACATCCAGATTTTCGTTTATGGCTAACTACTGAACAAACGCCAGAATTTCCAATTGGAATTTTACAACAATCATTAAAAGGTTTCAATGTACTTTAATGAATTTTCAATTAATCATTTAAATTTAATGTCAGTTTTTAAATTTTTTTTTGAATTTTTTTCCAGTCGTAACTGAACCTCCAAATGGACTTAAATTAAATTTACGAAATACATATTTTAAAATGAGAGCACAAATTTTAGATTCATGTTCACATCCAGTTTATAAAAATTTGGTGTATGTTCTCGCATTTTATCATGCAGTGGTGCAAGTAATTATTCATCATGATTTTTTTTTCTAAAAATTAATTTTGCAAAAACATTTATTTATTTATTTTGTTTAGGAAAGAAGAAAATACGATAAAATTGGATGGAACATTAATTATGATTTCAATGAATCTGATTTCAATGTTTGTACATTGATTCTTGATACTTATTTAACGAAAGCATTGACAATCGATTCAACAAGAATTCCATGGAATAGTTTAAAATATTTAATAGGAGAGGTAATAATTAAAATCTAATAATTATTATCGAGTAGAATTTTTTTTTTCAAATAAATTTGATTTCAATAAAAATAAAATCATTTTTTTTAAGGTAATGTACGGAGGGCGAGTGATTGATAATTTTGATAGAAGAGTATCAAAAATCTACATGGATGAATATTTTGGCGATTTTTTGTTTGATACATTTCAACCATTTCATTTTTATCACAACAATTATGTTAATTATGTAATACCACAGGAAGGAAATCGTGATTCGTATATTGAATTTATTGAAAAATTACCACTTGTCAATTCCCCTGAAGTTTTTGGACTTCATCCAAATGCGGAAATTGGATATTATACACAAGCAACTAAAGAAATGTGGATGAATTTAATAGAGCTACAACCGCAAACAGGTATATTTTTTTCAATTATTCTTTAATTTTTTTTAAATAACAACAATTTTTTAATATAAATACAATTTTGAATAAAATACCTGTTTTGTATTTTTTTAAGTCTGTCTGGAAAAAACGAGTAAGTCTGAAAAGAAATAACAATTTGAAAATATAAATCTTCAATTGAAATTTTATTTTTTTTTAGCTATCAGCGTCACTGGAATCAGTAGAGATGAATTTATCAACAATGTAGCACAAGAAGTATTAGCAAAAATTCCCGAACCCTATGATATGATAAAAGTAAAACGAAATTTTGGTTTAGGTGTGACACCAACTGCAATTGTTCTATTTCAAGAATTAGAAAGATTTAACACTCTAATTAATAGAATGACATCAACATTAATTCAATTAAGAAAGGTAGAAAAAAAAAATTTTATTTTTTAAAAAATAATTGAAAAAAGAAATTGATTGGAAAAATAATTATAGGCAATTGCTGGAGAAATAGGAATGGATGCTGTACTTGACGATATTTCAAATTCTCTCTACAATGGAACATTACCTAAAGAATGGGCTAAATTAGCACCAGATACGAAAAAAAATCTAGCAGGCTGGATGGATCATTTTGAAAAAAGAATCGCTCAATATACCAATTGGGTAAAATGGGATTTTTTTTTCTAAAATATTTCAAATTAATAAAAGTGAAAAGCTTATTTTCTAATTGAAATTTTTCAGGCAGGTTCAAATGAACCAATTGTAATTTGGCTCTCAGGTCTTCATATACCGGAAACTTATTTGGCAGCATTGGTACAAATGGCATGTCGACGTAACAATTGGCCCCTAGATCATTCCCTTATTTACACATCAGTTTCGAGATATTTAAAAGCTGATGAAGTCGAAGAGAAACCAGAACAAGTAAAAAAGAAAAAATTTCCGATTTTTAAATTATCTAATTTTTTTTTAATTCATTTTGTTTTTTTGTATAGGGTTGCTACGTCCAAGGATTATATTTGGAAGGTGCACGATGGGATATAAAAAAGCATTGTCTAATGAAATCTTATCCTAAAATTCTCGTCGAAGAATTACCAATACTCACAGTAATTCCAATAGAGGCACATAGACTAAAACTTCAGGTAATTAAACTTGAAAAAATTATTTTTAAAAAAATTAGAAAACTTAAAAACAACTTTTGTTTTAGAATACAATAAAAACACCAGTCTATACAACATCAAATCGACGAAATGCTATGGGAAGGGGTTTAGTTTTTGAAGCAGATCTTGGAACAACAGAACATATATCGCATTGGGTACTTCAAGGAGTTTGTCTAATAATGAATACAGATTGAAAAATAAATTTTATTTTCTATTTCAATTTTAAATTGTAACTTGTGGTAGGCATAAATTATAAAATGAACTGTCAATAAATTCCTTTAAATTCTGCCACTTTATCCAATGATCATTTTGTAATTGATCAATTGATTTTGCTCTCCCTAAAAAATGTGGATCGACAACAAGTAAATAAATTTCTTTCTCTCCAAAATGTATGCCTACAATTCCTTTACTAGAACAATCACGATCACCACCCATCATTATTGGACATCCTTTTTGCTCGAAATGATCCTTCAGTAAATTAACATAATTAATTAATTCTTTACCAGATTGTATATGAATTATTTTACTGACAATTTTATAAAGTTCATCCAATACCAAGCAAACCTGCAAAATCATATGAATCAAGACCCTAGTATATGGAATAATTTTATATAAATATAAAAATTTTATTTCTACTTCGATACTTCCTATCCAATCTTTCGAATCAATGAACGTTGATTCTTTATCTTCGAGATTGACGAGTATTTCTTGAATTTTTCTTAAACTAGGAACAGATTGATTTGAATTTATATTTTTCTTCATCCACGAACATATTGTTTGTAATGTCCTATACCCACATCCCCAGCCCTGTTGAAAAATTCCTATTATTCACTTTACTTCAAAATTTTAATATTACCATTTTTCTACACAGAAAAATATGCTATTGAATCGACAGCATTTCTGTATAAAAATTATAAATTCAAAAGCATATGCTAGAAAATATTTTATAGATTTTATAGCATATATTTTTAAATTAATAATTTTTTAAACCTTTGACAGAAATGCTATTGATTTTAATAGCATATTTTTCGTGAGTGTAAATATTTAAAGTTATGTGAAAAATTCAAAATTTTTAAAATTTTGACAAATACTAGGGAGATAATAATTCTGTAAAAAAAATAAAATCTCAATAATACCTTATCGTTAAAACCATCACATCCGTAATGCCAATATTCATAATCACCTCTTATTAAAAATGTATCACCTGTTGGCTCAGGTAATGGTAATTTTTCATGAACATTTTTCAATAAATTTACTCGATAATCCATTGTAAAAATAAATCGATGAATAGTAATTTTTTCTACTTTCTTAACTATTTAAAAATAAACATAAATTTAAAATACAACAAATTGAATTAACTTTTGTATTATAAATATATTTTCGCGCTCATTTTGCCTCGATCGAAAATCTACAATTTTCCTATAGAAATAAATGATAAATATTTTGACAGTAATGTTAATTTTTTGATAAAATCACATACAATATAAATTAACAAAGAAGTGATATATATATAAAATTTACTTTCTGGAACATGATTTGTGGCGTCATCTGTTCAGGAAATCAAACAACTTTCATGACCTTCTTCTCTCTTTCTCTCTATCTCTCTCTCTCTCTGTGGGGCTTTGGGAAAATTAAACGTCAAACTTATACTGCTCTCGGGAATGCAATCACGGGCAATACGAGTAGGATTATTGGTAATTGCAGTGAAATACACAGTGTGGAGTTATTTTATGTTACGTTATTATAAATCCAAAGAAAACGACAAAAAATCACCTAAACAATGAATTGTCTATTATGATGGAACATTAAAATTTCCTGCAATGTGAAACTGTACAAGTGATATAAGAATAAAAATTTCAATTTGTGTGCATCTGCGTATGACGCACAACAAACATTTTCTCCCAACAAATGTAAGTTATTAAAAAAAAATGTCTAACTAATTTTCGAAATGTTATCTGAAAAAATGTGGGGGAAAAAAAATACAACAAAGAGAAAAACGATAGAGAAAAATATTTTTTTGGAGTAGCTGTCAAACTTGACAGTTCTATGGGTCCTGTATCGATTTTTTTTTAGTAAAATTTTCATCAATGTTAGAATATCCAATTAAACCGAACTAAACGACCTTGAAACAAAATTGATTTATTTGAAATGTGTTTTTTTCCCTAAATCAAATATCCTTTGTTTGATATGTATGAGTCACAATCGAGTTTTAGGTTATGTTTGCAATATTTGCTCCATTTTGCTGAATATTCTTCATAAATATTGTTTTTTTCTACAAATTTCTATATAAAATAAACTTGAGAACAAATTGAAGAAATAATTTTTCTGAAATTTTAACACGCACATTATTTTTATAATCGTATATAAAAGATTATTTTTATTTGATCTAGATACCCACTTTACTTATCTTTCTGTTCGAGATCTGGAACATAAAGTTCCAATCCAATTTTACTCTAAGAACAATAATTCAATGTAGAAACAGAGCGTAATTTATTTTTTAAGTTATTTAGATTACAATATCAAAATTGTAAATTAATATTTGTAAAATATCAATTTTATTTTACTATTCAAAAATCAGATTGGAAATAAATTTTTCAAAATAGAAATATTTTAAATAAAATTTTTAATTGTACAAGTAAATGTCATCAAAAGTCACTTAACAATTTTAGAGAGATAAAAATAAAAAAAATTTCACAGAAATTCTCATTATATTTGAATTTATCATTGCGGAGGCGTTTTAAATGAGATAGTTAAATTGTAAATGAGAAAAAATATATATACCAACTACATTTTCCAATTTCAGCTAATCAATGTGAAATGAAATCTTAATTCAAGAGAAATTAAAGGAAAATGTACGGCGAGGGCTTAGAATCAGTGTCTGAAGGATGGCGACAATTAAGAGATTTAAGTACTACGACAGATCCAAATATTAGTTCAACAGTGCATGAAAAGGAGCATTTTTGCAAATTAATCTTGTATAAAGAAATTCAAGATTCAAGGTAGTTGCAAATTTTTTTTTTTTTAGTTCGAATTTCCAGTGTTTTAATTCCGCTCAAATTTTTAATTTCTAAACGAAGAAAAAGACTAACGAATTTTTTTTTTTCAGAGTACGAATATGGGACGTAACGATTCTAATTCCAAATCTTCTGTTCCTTCTTTTCATTGCCGTAAGATTTAACAGAGCACGACTTAAATTAAGAGCGACTAGTAGTCCAATATTCTTAGCATTTTATGGTCTTGTTATTTGTAATGTAGTGATTTCATTAATTCGATGCATTGTTTCAATGAGTGTTAATGCAGCAGCAACAGTTGGTGGCAAAGCAGATAAAGTACTATGGGTCATTGTCAGATTTTTTCTACTCTCCACCGAAATGAGTGTTGTTATTTTTGGTTTATTTTTTGGTAAGTTTTTTTTTTTTTAATTTACAATTTTCTTTTGTTTGAAATTCTTTTCTAATTTTGAATTTTTTTATTTACAGGACATTTAGATAGTCGTTCAAGTATTCGTAGAGTACTATTGGCAACGTCTTTTATAGCTCTAGCTTACACGATAACTCAGGGTACTTTGGAATTAGTTCTGCCAGACGATATGTTTTATATAAATAGTAAAGAACTTTTTGTTTTTGGTCATGGTGGAATGATGTTTTGGTTTTGCAGCAGTCTCGTCTTTACAACGGTACGTCACAAAAAAAAAACGAAACAAAATTTATCTTTGTGTAACTAAAATTTCTACTTTACAGATATACATGTTCATGCTAATACTGCCGTTGACGCGACTGCGAGAACGATTAGCCTTACCAAGTAAGTTTGAAATTATTTCCAAATTAAATAATTAAAATTTGAAAAATGAATGTTTTTAAATTCTGAATTTTTTTCGACAGACAAAAGAAGTTTCTACGTTTACGTTGGGATATTGGCTTTTTTGAATTTGGTACAGTCAATAGGTGCAGGACTTTTAAATTATACTCAAAATCTCGTTGGCCTCTGCGTGGTAGACGTCACTGCGATAATTTATTTGACAGTCTTCACGCCTCTAGTTTATCACACATTTTTATCCGAATTTTTAGGGTGAGTTTTGCGAATTTTTTTTTCAAATAATTCAGATAATAAAAAATTTTTTTTTTTTTCCTTTTTTTCAGAGTATCGCAGCCATCGCTTATGTTTTCGTATAAAGCGCAAGTTGACGATGCAATGGAGGAGGACACTGTTTCGCTGCCACATCAACAAAGTTTCTCATCGTTGAAGACTGACAGCGATTACATCTATCAGGTCCATGTTCCTTCATTTCACATGCCCTTTCATGAATCGCCAATTACAAAAATTCCCCCAACACTTGTGAAACAAACGAGTTCCCTTTATTCATTAACATCGCGTCGCACTGGTGATCCAAATACAAGTCGTTATAGTTCCCAAATAAGACTCTATGGAACATCACCAAGTGGTAAACGTTCCTCCTCAGTAAAACGTTTAATTGCTCAACAAAGTACACCGGATCTTGGCAAATATACATTAACAAATTCAGGCACATTGGGTGGTTCACAACAAAAAGTAACATCATCACAATTAGATGCGCCAAGTTGGAAAACACGTTCTGTTTCTTTAATTGGACAAGCTGGTGATCTCGCGCAAACATCACAAAGTCATTTTGCATATCGTCCAAAAATTTCAACAGACAGTGCAACACAATTTTTATCTGAATCAAGTAAAAGTAGCCTTGATTCAGAATCATTGCGTATCAAAATAAGAAAATCAAATAAATCACTTGAGAATAAAAATGAAAAATTTGTGAAAACAAAATCACATGAAAAATCATCGTCATCACCACTTGAAAGTAGTTTACAAAGTCTTTTGAGCGGTGAATCACACGAAATGAAACAAACAGATTCTATAACCAAAGATACATAAAAATTTAGCTTTTTTCGTATTTTATTAATTAAAAAAAAAAAAAAAAAAAAAGCTGGCTGTTATTAAAGTTGTTTATATATGTTACAATTGAATAGTTGCTTTTAAAAATTGATTTATTTTTTTGACGAAAAATTTCTATTTATATTATTGTATTTATAATTATTGTGATTAACTTTTCAAATTGATTCCAAAGATAAAGTTGAGCTTTGAAAAAAAAGTAGATTTATCAAAAAAAAAAATTCCAGAATTATTATTTAAAAATATGATTAATATCTGGGAATGTATTCGTTATTTATTTATTATTTGTAGAAAAAAAAAATAGATTCACATATATGCTTTTTTTTTCTTTTATCAGTGTGTGTGTGTGTTTTTGTATAATTATATATATATTTAAATATATATATACAATCAGCACGCCTAGCAGCTATTTTTCATTAAATTTACTGATACTGTTAAAGCACTTTGTTTTCATTTATTGCACATTCACAAATAAAAATCCAAGTATTTTTAAAATTCACAACTAACTTAATTTTTGCTTCCTATAACTAAAAAGAAAAATTATTGGCAATTTTTTTTTTTTTTCATTAAAAGCTTGTTTTACTGCATGCAAAATAATTTTATTATTGGCTTTTAAATTTTTCCTGTGACAATCTATATAAATTTAAAAAGTTAATGCTGGTTATTGAAAAATTTTTAAATGAAGACCAGCTTTATCTTTTAGAACAAAAAGTAATTCTATTAAATAATAGAAAACAATTTTTGAAAAATCGAAAGAAAATTAATATTTTTTTTCAAAAATACAGCTGTTTAATATTTTAATTTAATTATTTTGACGAGAGTTTATTTTAATGGGATAGGAAAATCCAAAGTGGAACTTATTTTCTTTTTTGCAGAATAACAGTGTTTATGATTCGACCCAATTCAACACGAGTGCAACGCCAGTCAATCCGCTTTATGCAGCATCCCTACAAAGTCCGGACAGCATCACCGGCTATAGTATAGATAGTCAAGAAACACACACTCAAACTAATGGATATCAGCAGTGAGAAAAAAAAAAAGAAATAAGGCTTCTTAGAAAAAAAAAAAAAAGAGAAAATAACTTCTCCCTAACACGTTTTTTCCAATATTCAATATGGGTGACTAATTTTAATTTATATAATCTAAAAAAAAATTACAAAAACGTAAACAAAACCTGTTTTTGTCAGCGACATGAATGGTTGAGAAAAAAAATAATTCTGAATACATGTTTATAAGGTATCTTTCGACTATCAGTGGGAACGGACAAAGAATTGAAATTATCCAAAAAAAAATGAAAATGTAATACAAAATTCTCAAAATGAGACTCTAAAAATTCTTGATAGAATAACAATAGCCAATTTTTTTTTTTTTACAGACAACGTTCCCCCTGATTTTGTGAAATATTTTTCTACTGTTTCATGTAATTTATATAATATGGAGGCAGTGAGATCCCATCGAAACCTTCTCTCTAGTCGTCATTATAGGTATTCAATTTTCCGGGGTGGTATTTATATATATATATATATATTAGAAAATAAATGAACACTAAGTGGAATAACGATGGAAAGTACATTAATATATAATTATTTAAGGTAAATAATTTATAATTTATAATACAAAATAAACTTCAAAAAATTGTCCTGATAAAAATTTTTCTCTTAAATTAATTAATTTTTCGATAATAAAAATAAAAAAAAAATCTCCTTCTTTTTAATTCACAATTTTTAGAATAAAATTTTACGATTCAAAATCAGGACTTTTTGAAAGTATATAGTACTTTTCCACTTATTTCAAATGGCAAACGTTAAAGACAACGATAATGGACTTGGAATTATTATTATTACTTATTGTAATAAAAAATGTTTATTTTGAATCGAGCTTTTGAAATTAGATTATTATATATAATAATTATAAATTATATAAAATTAATTAATTTAATTAAAATAGAAAAATCAGAAGGGGAGGAGAAAAAATGTCAAAGGCTCATCACTTCTGCGAATTAATTCGATTTTATCTTTTCCCTTTTGGATATTTTACGCAACGAGAGAATGCGGTTTTCAAGCGACAGATTTTGCCTGTAGCAAAAGGAGAAAGTGCAAGGAAAAACTTGTTACAAATAACGTATGTATTTGATCACAGAATATTCACTAAAAAAAGGTATTTTTTTCAAAATCAAATTACCTATTTCGGCAATTTTTTTTCAAAACTGAATAAATCATTCCAGTATTTTTTCTCCTCAAGTTTAAGTAAAAACTTGTAAAAAAAATAATTTAATATAATGGAAATTTAAAAAAAAAAACATAGAAGGCTGTAATCATTATAATGCTTTGACTGTGTTCCAATTAATTTAAATCGCAAAATCCTAATAAACAAATAGGATGATTTAAAACACCATACCTTTGAAATATTTTTTGAAAATCTATTCTTTTCCATTATTTCTCACATACATTGTTATTCTATTTTTTTACTGTCACAAGTGTGCCAAAAAAAAAAAAAAAAAAAAAATGATTTTAATATTTTCCCAATCATCGCGTGTCGCATTGAATGAGTTCTTAAAATTACGATTACGAAAATGATTGATAAAATTGTTACCAACCTATTTATATAAAAATTGTCGAAAAAAAAAAATAATTCGTAAATTGTTATTTGTTTCGTGGAATAACTATAATAGTTAATAATGAAAATTATCCTACGACGACTGTGCTTTTTCCATCAAAAATCCGTCCTAAAAATTCTACCTTGTCCCAAATATACAAAAAAAAAAAGTGATAAGAAAAAAAAAACTTGAAACGTCAAAATTCGTTTCGAAAATTTGGAACACAGTCTATAAATCATGGGATAGAAGAAGAAAAATATGCCGTAAAATTAAACAAAAAAAAGACGGCTAAGCTCATTTGTCACAATGTGATTTGGCTAATTTAGAGAGAAAAAAAGTCAATCTGTTTCATTGAAATTCAGAACAAGATAATTATTTTAAAAATTTATTTCTTTTATTAATAAAAAAATTTAATTATTATTAAATTATATTATTTTTAAAATAATTCAAATATATATTATTTATATTTTATTTATTTACAAAAAAAAATTTCGTTTAAAAAACTAATAAAATTTTTTGGCAGTTATTATCATAAAGGTGAATAACCTAATGACAAAAAAATGTCTATTTTGAAACATCTAATAAATTATCTCTTGTTCGGAATTTTCATGATTGCAAAAAAAAAACAAAATCTATGGCATAAAACCTGTGTCAAGAATAGATATATAAGTCTCGTAATTGTATTTATCTCAAAATAATAATTCATCAATCATAATGAAATTCCAGCTAAACTATAATATACATATATATATTTTACCAATATATATCAAGAAGAAAAAAAAACCAATCTTTTCAAGTGTTTCTATATCAATAATAAAAGATTATTATCTTCTTGAAATAAGAGGAACTGGCAAACTGCTATTTTTTCGTAATCCAGTCTAAGAATTATAAAACAAGAGAAAGAAAATAAAATCTAAAACAAAAAAAAGTCAGGAGATGAACATAATACCTATATATATATATTTAGAGATTTAAGCGATTTTCAATGCGATATAGCTAATGATTCGAACTCCATCCATGGTGTACATAAGCATAAATAATAATAATAATAATAATAATCGTAATGTAAAGTCACATGTTATTTATACGTGTAAATTGTATTGACACTCATTTAATATGTAAGTTCACACATTCCATCGACTTTGTTTAAAATCACTTTCAAGAAGCGAAGTCGAAATCACAAGGCGTCTTTTTAGCGTCCGTCAATTTGATACTGATAGAAATTAAGACGATTATATTAAAAAAAAAAAAAAAAAAATAGTTAAGAAATTATGTCTCTCATAAGACTTCGTTTCAAAAATCAGAATAAGAATAATATTCTAAAAAAAATCAGAAAAAAATTAGCTATTTTCATTTTTAAAAAATAAATAAACTGAAAAAATGATATTCTCAATTTTGAGAATAATTCTGTGTTCCTATTTAAGATTAATTTAATTATCAAGTCCAAAAAATATTCTCAAATTAAGAATATCATTTTTTTTTTTTTGATAAAATATTTCTAATTAATATTTGAGATTTAAAGTTCTTTAAAAAACAAAAAAAAAAAATTCATTTTTAATCCATACTGAAAAAAAATAAAGCAATGTTGCTTTTGGCGTTACACATTTGAAAACCGAATATAAAATTAAATAAATTCATTAATAAGAATGTCAACTAAAGAAAGATAAAAGTTTAAAAATAAATTTTCTAGTTTTTTTTTTCAAAATACTGAAGTTACATTAATTTTCTAAACTTCCATTTGTTTATCGTCATGGACAGTAGGAAAATAATCTAAAAATAAGAATAAATCATTAGCACCTCTTTTATTATTTTCAGAATAATCTTATTTCAAAAGTAGACTAAAAAAAATATTTAAATTAAAAATTTTAAAATAAATATTAATGATTTATTCTTAATTTCAGAATATTCTTTTATTTTTAATTTTATATCTATATTTTACGAAAAAAAAACCATTTCTTCGTTGTGATCTTATACTCAAACGTATATAATAAAAATATATATGTTAATTTGTGGTGATATCAGTATTTTAGAAAATTCTGCTTCTTATGCAGCGACGCATAAAAAAAAAATATATGTGCAAAGAATTTTTGAAAAATTCGAAGATTAAATTTTTTTCACTCTTTCACTTGAATTTTAAAAACATATTTAAAAACAATAAAAAATTTTATCTACGAATTTTTCAATTTTTGCCCATCGAATTTCTTGTATATTTAAAAAAAAAAAAAAAAAAACTTGCTATTTTTCAAAGCAAGGATTGTGCTAGCGATATACATATATATATATAATATATATTTACATATTTTACAGTACCTATGTATACAAAATTTGCGTAAAGAAAATAATAAATCGTAAATCGAATAAATGTTCGTCTTTAATTAAAAAAAAAAAAAAAAATCGTTTAGTGTTTTAAAAAAAAATAAATTATGAGAAAATGAAAAATAGAAAAAAAATATTTAAATCTTTAAACAAATTCTGTCAATTGTTGGGTGTTTCCTGATTCTCCTATCTTTAACAGTATCATGTAAAGAATGTGAAATCGATTTAATTGACGTCGCGATTTAGACACGAGTACTTATCTATAGAATCTACCTTTCTCCTGATATTTACGGCCTATTTTACTTTGCTAACGCTTCCACTGAATTCCGCAAGGAATTCGCATAACAAATCAAGCCAATTATATATATATATATACAAACACAAGTGAGAATCGTGCTATCAACATAAATTATAAATATAATATTTTTAACGAATCTAATTTTCTCATATTTTTTTTGAAAATAATTTCTGTCTCACTTCTATGACAATAAATAATATTAATATTCCGGAAAAAAGCGAACAAAATTATTATTAATGAAGCGAATATTGGATTCAATCTATTTTCTTTTTTTTTCTATTTAATTCAATTTAATTATAAATTTATTTTGAAATACAAAAAATTGATTTCGTAAGAATTTTATTAAAACAATCGTTACTCGTGCGCTACGATTAAATATATATAGAAAAAAATTCACGAACATATATTGTTACACTTGACTGAATCTAAATGTTGCTAATTATCATGAATTAGTCTTGAAATAAACGAAACATATATGCTTCGATCAATTGATAAATATAAATGCAGCTGCAAGATTTTAATAATAGATTGATCCAATAATTCGCAAGTGGTTATATTTCAAAGAATTATTTGCATTATTATTGCATGTTTTTTTTTTTATTTATTTTTAACATTCAAACTAGTTTGAAATTAGTTAAAAAAATTTTTTTTCTTTTTTTAATGATTTATTTTTATATATAAAATTTTCTCAATTCTATAAATAGTTTTTTAATTAATTTAATTGCCTTATATCTCATTTAGTTGAAAATTGCGCGCTTTTGTTATTATTATTTTTTTTTTTTAAATACCTTTTAGAAGACAATTAAAAATAAAATGAAAGGTTAAGTATGCCGATAATAACAAAGGGGGAAAAATATTTCTTTGAACATGTTTTAATAGCTTCGACGTCTTTTTATACTATAACGACAAGAATTATTATTTTCGCGAATATTTTTTGTAACGACTCTTCGCGGCTCTGACGCTTCATTTCTCTGTGCTTTGTATTTTAAAATCGTCAATCAGATTAATTGCTCTTGAGGATTTCACGTCACAAGGTGTATTTCTATCGCATCTTTACATCAAGATTTATTTATAAAAAAAAGCGAACTGAATAAATTCCAATTTTTCTTTTTTCTATAAATTATTTATAATATTAAACGTTTTTGAATTATTATAATTAATAATATTGTGTAATTTTCTTTTACAAAAGAACAAAAAAAATTTAATTGTATTAATTAATTTCCCCTTTTTAATTCCTAAAAAAAAATAATTTGATACAGACAGTTGAAAGTGACTGGTATAATATATGAGAAGTATTGCTGCGAGCGTGATTCACATTTTTGATCGAGGAATCATCAGATGTAAATCCCACGTTTGATGCACGACTGCATCTTGACTGGCGAGAGCTTCGAGGACTTTGGCATCTGAAAAAGAGGACGACAAACTGTGCCACAGTTGCACACTCAAAGGTCGCGCCACTTTTTGCTGGCGCAAAGAGTACAGGAAGAAAAAAAAAAAAGTTCACCAAAGAAACCACTTAACGTCAAACAAAGCAAATATTCAAGCCACACACATATATGAACACCACTACCACAACATAATTCTAATAAATCTTGATACAAAATTCTTTTTTTTACATTAATAAAACAAATTATTTTGAAATAATCAGAAATTAACAAAATAAAATTCAAATAATAAATTTATTTAACGAGAAATTTGAATCAAGATTTTTTTTCGTTAGAATTTTGGATGATAGTAAAAAAGCCCTGAATTAGAAATTAAAAAAACGAAAAAAAAGCGAGAAGAAGAATAGCAAAAATAAATCAAAAAGCGAGAGAAAAAATAAGCAATATTTTATATGAAAAATATGAAGAGGAATGAATTTTTGTTTTAATTTTTCAATAAATTATTACCATTTGTTTGAAGATATTGTTCAATTGGTATTTTTAAAATTGAAGCTGGAATTGCCATATTGAGTCGTGGATAAAGTTCCAAATTGTTTGATGAGATTGCATTACATACGATCATCCCCAGCATCTCTCCAGTCGACCAACAAACAATTGGACCACCACTAGTTCCACTTTGAACGCAACAGGTGGTTTGCAGCATGCATGGCAAGGATCTTGACACATTTCCTTTGCTTATCGTTGGCAAACTCGACGAGAAAAATGGAAATCCTGCTGTTGCCACAATCTCTCCTATATTATATATTATTTTAATCGATTTTATTCTATTGACAATATCTTTATTATCATTAGAAAATTATAATAATGGAGCGCAATTAAGAATTTATTTCTATTTGACAAAAAATTTAATTCTAAATTTTGGCGAAATTTCATTTAACTGAATTATTTAACCACATTATATTATTTAACTTAATTATTTTACTTAATTTATTACTTAAAGAAATTATTTAACTTAATTTTTATTAAACTAAATTAATGTTTAGCTGAATTGTTTAACTAGATTATTTTTTTACTGAATTATTATTTTACTGAATTATTATTTAACTGAACTATTATTTTACTAAATTATTATTTAACTGAATTATTATTGTACTAAATTATTATTTAACTGAACTATTATTTAACTGAACTATTATTTAACGGAACTAATATTTAACTGAACTATTATTTTACTAAATTATTATTTAACTGAACTATTATTTAACTGAACTAATATTTAACTGAACTATTATTTTACTAAATTATTATTTAACTGAAATATTATTTTACTGAACTAATATTTTATTAAATTAATATTTAAGTGAAATATTATTTAACTGAACTATTATATTACTAAATTATTATTTAACTGAACTATTATTTAACTGAATTATTATTTAACTGAACTATTACTTTACTAAATTATTTATTTAACTGAACTATTATTTAACTGAACTAATATTTAACTGAACTAATATTTAACTGAACTATTATTTTACTAAATTATTATTTAACTGAACTATTATTTTACTAAATTAATATTTAACTGAACTATTACTTAACTGAACCAATATTTAACTGAACTATTATTTTACTAAATTATTATTTAACTGAAATATTATTTAACTGAACTATTATTTTACAAAATTATTATTTAACTGAACTATTATTTTACTAAATTATTATTTTACTAAATTATTATTTAACTGAACTATTATTTTACTAAATTATTATTAAACTGAACTATTATTTAACTGAACTAATATTTAACTGAACTATTATTTTACTAAATTATTATTTCACTGAAATATTATTTAACTGAACTAATATTTTACTAAATTATTATTTAACTGAAATATTATTTAACTGAACTATTAATTAACTAAATTATTATTTAACTTAATTATTATTTAACTAAATTATTATTCAACTTAACTATTATTTTACTAAATTATTTATTTAACTGAACTATTATTTAACTGAACTAATATTTAACTGAACTATTATTTTACTAAATTATTATTTAACTGAATTATTTTACTAAATTATTATTTAACTGAATTATTTTACTAAATTATTATTTAACTGAACTTTTATTTTACTAAATTATTGTTTAACTGAACTATTATTTTACTAAATTTTTATTTAACTGAAATATTATTTGACTGAACTATTATTTTACTAAATTATTATTCAACTGAATTATTATTTTACTGAATTATTATTAAAGCCAGTTTGAATTTGGCCTAATTTTCATTGAACTTTATAAATTTTTATTGAAGCGTGTCGCCACTTAATTGAATTGTAATTTAACAAAATTAACAAATAAAAAAATTGTTATTTAGCTAAATTATTATTTGGCCTAACGAATATTTGACTAAACTACTTGAGCGCGAATTTTAAAATGAACCGTATAATAAATAATAATAAATAAATATTTTAGCAAAATAAATAAATATTTTAGCAAAATATTTGTTCGGATAATTAAAAGTTCGATTAAATAACAAATTTGGTTAAATGACAATTCTTTTAAAAACAAAATTCAATAAAAGGAAAATGTTCAAAAAAAAATTTAGCTAAATAAAAATAAAAGAACAAATTCGCATTAAATTGTCAGTTAAATTGAAATTCAGCAAAATTTCAGTTTCGTTAAATGGAATTTCGTCAAAATAGCAATTAAAATAAATAAAAAAAAAAAATTAATCGCAAATTGAATTAAATATGCGCCCCAATAAAACTAGATCATCGTAAAAAATTCAGCCAAATGAGAAAATTTATTTTGAAGAAAAAAAAATTGCTAAAAAAAAGTTCTTTGAGAGAAAGAATTTGAAAGAATTAAGGAGACGAAAAATTTTTCAAAGAAGAAACAGAATCTAAAAATATTAATAGAGTAAATCAATTATTCGCCATTAAACAAAATCGATATCTCAATTTTCCGTTGAGAATCGAAACCAGAAAAATAAAAAGGGAAGCTTCATTGATGAAGAATAAATTCTCCTCTCAATGGATATCATATATATATATAATATCTTTGCGAAAGCTCTCGAGAAAATATTTCTAGTCAATGAATAGTATACAAGGAAATCGAGTTTGTATTTATTTTGTGGTCTCGTTATTGTGTGATCTCATCACACGATGAGAGAGAGAGAAAAAAAAAGAGAGAGATCTCTTTTTTTTTAATATGAAAGAAGAAGAAGAAGATGAAATAATGGTTGCGGTCATTTTATAAACGAGTCTCACTGGCTGCTTCTTACCTCGAGATACAGAAGTGCCCTGAATATATATAGACCTCAGTGAGGGGTCCACTTCCTCTGGATTGACCCTCAACACAGCGACGTCATATGGCTTGTTATCGGGTGTCCTGTAAACTAATTTTGCCCTCGTGGGCGAAGCATGCTTCTTCTTATTCTTGTTTTCATCCCTATTAAGCATAACCTTGATGTCGCTGACTGGCGCCTAGAACAAGTCTGCCCTCTTAACCTCAATCGTTTTTAATTTCCCCCATTCGATTCGCATCCCCCTTTTCATCATCAATGAAATTGAATAACTTCTTTTGTCATGAAAAGTTGTTAAAAACTACTCTTATTTTTTTTTTCATTGACGTAGATAGTCAACTGCGTATTTCAATTTTTTTTTTCCAACAACTATAATTTTGATTAAATAAAAAAAAATAACATCCTGTATAATAATATTATATATCCTATAAGGGAAAATTACCTCTCTCACAACGTGAGAACACGTTAATATTGTACCAGATTTTAAATCGATAAGAATTCCAGTTCCCCAGGATGAACCACATTGAACAGGTACAACGCACTTATCTAACATATCTGCAAAAAGTTATGCAATTGTTTTACAATTATGCAAATTGCAATTATATATCTTTAAAAAAAAGGAGAATAAAATTTTTACCGGCTAATTTACAGTTTTCACTTCTCAAGTTTATATCGTCAAGGCATCGTCGATTTTTTAATAATTGGCAAAATTGCAGTTGAGGGACACCTCGGCTAAAGCACGCTTTTAAATTTGCTATAAATGTGTAATCGACCCATTCGCCTCGACACCAACTTAACGGAGCTATCACCATTCCGCAAATTTGTCGTTCTCTATTGAAATTTTTTTTTCACTTTTTTATTTTAAAAATAATTATTTAAAAAAATATTATTTTTATAATAAAAATTAAAAAATTTTAAATTTTTTTAAAATTTCCTTTTAAAATATAAAATAATAATCTCACCCATCGTTAATGATGTAAACTGGACCACCTTCACAACCTGGCACCGAATTAGCGTCAGATAAAATAATACAATTTTCATCACCAACAATATTACTAATAACGCCACGTGCAATTGAATTGATAAATATTGGATTACCAAATGGCGTTGATTCAATTTCTGCAATAAATCCTCTCACTGGATAAACGAGATCTTTTTCAATAAAACAATTTAAAGCCTCACGAGCAGATGAAATTGAATTTTCATAAAATTGTACTTTAAGTCCTATTATCAAAAATACTGGCAACATTGAATCATTACGTTTATCGAGTAGTTTATTAAATTTCCAAGATGTAAAGAGATTATCGAATGTTTCCTTTAAAATTGAACATTTCCAAGCCAATACTACAATGCTTTCATTTTCCTCAATTTCTTTATTCGATGATTTCTCCCAAAAAATACGAAATTTTAACAAATCACACAATTTTTGGGGAATTTTGAAAAATTCATTCACCTTCAAATTAGCAAATAAATTTGCAATTTCTCCATTATTTTGTATTAATCCACTAATTAATGAACCATGTGTGAGCACCCAATTTTTCGAAATCAAAATTCCAGAATAGCCAAATATATCCTTTTGTTCGCCATCAAAAGACGAGATATGTGAGATCAAAACATTTTTTTGTTTCATTATTATTGAATAACTGTTAAATAAAAATTTTTTACAAAAAATTCGGGACAATTTGAAAAAAAAAATCTAAAATTACGAAGCTGAAGTACGCAATGTTTATATAAACAATTTTTAAAGAAATAATTTTTTAAAATGAAAAATTCTATAATTTTTTTCCTTAAAAAATATTTTAATTATAATTTGTTGTTTAATGAAAACTACAAGAAATATTTTTTAGGCAAAAAATTATAGAATTTTTCATTTTAAAAAATTATTTCTTTAAAAATCGTTTATATAAACGTTGCGTACTTCAGCTTCGTTGGAAATTCGAATTTTTATATTTATACACTCAGAGAAAAGATTTCTTTGATTTAAAGAAACCAAAATTATTTTTTTTTTATCATTAAAAATAAAATTTTCTTTGAAACCAAAAAAAGCTTAGTGCATTAATTCAAAGAAATTCGACAATTGATATAGGGTCCTTGATTTGAAGTAAATTAAAAAATTTCTTTGAAATCAAAATAATTTTTTATTTTAATCAAAAACAATTTATTTGAAACAAATTAATTTTTTTTGTAAAGAATTCTTTTTTTCTGGGTGTACCATATTCTAATCGAATAAAATATAAATTAAAAGAAAAACAAAAATTGATGCAATTTTTTTTTAGTGCAACATTTTTTTTTTTTCCCCCTCCATTGAAAAACGTGAGTACTTTATATATAGATTGATCGAGAATGTTTATAATTCTCTGGAAAAGGTCGATTTAATCGTCAATATAAGTTGCGGGACGAGAAAATCATTTACTCGAGGGATGAAGGGAGGGGGGGGCAATGGTACCGAGGCGTGTCTATATGTTGTTGGACTAGTTTTTGCTCAATGCACCGGTAGACCGCTTGGCACCTCAACTATATAGATCTACTATAATATTTACACAACATATTCAAAGACCTGGGTTGGGTTTTTTCTTTTTTCTTTTTCTCTCCATGTGAATAATAATAATAGGTTCAAATATTCTTATATTCTATACACACGTAACGATATAATACGTAATCTATAATTTTACACTTTGCACACATAATGAATCGTTCTCATTTTTTTTTCCCCCAGAAAAAAAAAATCAACGTGCGGAGAAATTTCATCTCGGGAATTTCCGTAAAAAATTCAATTTTTGATAAAATAATTTTTAAAAAAATTTTAATATTTAAAAATTTGAATTAAATATTAAAATTCCCTAAAAAAATAAAAAGTATCTCATATATTTAGATATGATCTCTAGATCGTACGATGCAGAACCTTTGAGGAACAAGTGATACAACTGCGGAACAAGTAGTAAACTTTTGCTTTGGTCAGCCCTATACAATATTTCTCGATTTTTCGCAATAGTTCAATTTCGACTCGTGTTTATTTAGAAAATAATTCTAAAAAAAAATTTGAGAAAATAAATTAATCAAAAATGAAATTAACAATTATTTTTTATAACAAATACTAAAAAAAAATCACCGAGTTTATTTTTTCAATATATTAAATGAATTAAAATTTTTGAGAGATGATGTCATAATAGAAAAGATATATAAATTTATAATGTAAAATCTAAGAATAATGATAATAATGCCTAAACCTAAACGCGGTATATTTATAGTTCATTTATTATAATCTATTCTCCATAAGTATATATAATAGCCCACTCACCAGAAACAGTTCCATATATGAGCATACGTGAGAAATATTCACGATCAACTGATAGACAATCTCTATATACTATATATATATATATATATACAAAATGATATATATCTTATTTCTTGATAGGTCACTTTTCTACAGAACTAAATCAACGTGATTTGCAGGTGTAAAGTGAGGACAGACTTTTATCTTTTCCAAGAAATCAATCGTATATATATATGCGATCAGAACCTTAACAAATAGCGAGATAGTAAAAAAGAAAATTCCTCAAAATTACCAACTATAAAAATGTATAATATAAAAAATAACGGTTTATAAAAAAAATCCCTTTTTTTAATTTATATATCATATAAAAATAGTTTGACTAAATTAAATTTAACTAAATTAAATTAATTTGCACCATAAAAAAAATTAACATCAATATTTGCGATTAACCAAAAAAAAAAGTATATGTTTACTTACGAATAACTCGAGGCACACGGAAAATATTTCTTGCTGTTCGACTCACCTGAAACGTAAAACAAAAATTTGCATTAGAATTGTAATTAGAATTAAATTAAAATACGTATTTTTAATTAATAAAAAAAAAAAAAAATTCTAAACGAAAATGAAGAGAAATGGGAACGCTGATGAAGGAGATATTTTAAAATGAAACATCCATAATTCAGAGACTTAAGATTATATTGTAGTTTTCAATGAATCATAAATCAGAAATATACGAATGAATTCATGCAAGTAATATATATTGCATTATAATGAACAAGATGGACAACTATTGTGATGCTCAATTAATAAATATACACACAGCCTCGTTCTACGACTTCATATTCTAAATACAATATTCATTAAAAAAAAAAAAAAAAAAAAAAAAACGAAGAATTTATATTTGGTTAAAATTTTATTTATTATTTATTACGATTAATAAATAATAATTAATTATTATAAAAATAAATAATAATTATAATTATTATAAAAATAAAAATTTTTAAAAAGTATTTTCCCTGGGATAAAATCGTGAATCATAATCAGTTCTTGGAAGTTTTAGGAAGCACAGGACCAACTCCCTCTTTTATTATTTTTTTAATATATGCAGGTGCGTGAGTCACTACTGTTATATATTGCAGGTAACAGATGTTTTCAGATAAAATTAATCTGAAAGCATTCCATCTAGTAAAGCAAACAAGGACAAGTTCTGTTACATAAATTCTCAGCAATATATACATATATATTACAACCACATTTAAAAAAAAAACATATAAACTTTTCCTCATATAAATATTCTCATTTGCGCTATGCAATTGATAATTTAATTTTTATATTAAAAAAAAAACAAATAAAAATGGATAAAAATTTAAGGAAATTAAAGTCAACTTGGGTGTAAAATTTTCGATGTTAAAAATCAATCCAAAAAAGAGCCAAAAAAATCAATTAACGTTAAATTAACTCCCTTTCCAAAAGGGTGGGACTTTTAAAGAATCTCAAGTTAAAATCTAACTTCCTTTTTTTTACAGTGTAAAATAGAAAAAATAGTAAATGAGGAAATGTAAAATATCTGGTGTACCTATTTAAAATATGTTTATGTGTAAAGAGTGAAGACGGTGGAGGGGGGCAAGAGAGGCATATAGCTGCTGCACAAGATAGTCGCCTAGACAGCGTGGCAGCAGCGAGAGAGATTCAAAATAAAAGGAGAGTCAACTCTCGCGTATACATGTATATATATCCCGCAGGTACAGTATATTACAGTAATGATCTACGAACGGCCGTGACACCGAATCCAGTCTCGCTCGAATGAAAGCAAGGCACGCGATCGAAGACTACAAATGCACAAAAAAAAAAACAAAAAAAAAACTCCATAACCGGATTTCAATTCACAAACTTAAATTCTCCACATGTTTCATAAGAAATGACAACATCAAAAAATACAAAAAAAAAATAAATTAAAAATAAAAATGCAACTTCACATCAAGGAAAAAATCAAAAATATACATTCAAGGACAAAGAGAGACGTGCTGCATCGAAATACGATTCTGCAAAATGCAAGAAACAAAAGATTCACTTTTTTAAAAAAATAATACCTTCGAATATATAAAGATTCCTGTTTTATAATTATTTAGAAACATCGTTATTCTTTATAATTATGGAGTTAATATAACACTGTTGCAAAAATTCATGATAAAACATACTTCTTTAAGTAAAAATTGCTAGAAAAAATTTTAGTTTACAAAAAAATATATAATAATCAATATTTCTATTATAAAAATAAACAAAAATCCAAGAAAATAAAAAATCAGACAAGTTGAGTTGCAAACGCACTGAAACGTAAGGTAAAAAAAATTACTGAATTAGAATCTACTAAAGAAAAAACATAAAACTAAGTACAACATGCAAAAAGTTACCAATGATTTCCACAACCATTGGTAACTACTAACTACAAATAAAACTACAAGCAAAAGTTACCAAGGATTTCTACAACCATTGATAACTACTAACTACAAAAAAAACTACAAGCAAAAGTTACTAATGATTTCTACAACCATTAGTAACAACTAACTAAAACTACATGAAAAAAGTTACCAATGATTTCAACAACCATTGATAACTACTAACTACAACTACATGCAAAAAGTTACTAATGATTTCTACAACCATTAGTAACAACTAACTAAAACTACATGCAAAAAGTTACCAATGATTTCTACAACCATTGGTAACTACTAACTACAAATAAAACTACAAGTAAAAGTTACCAATGATTTCTACAACCATTGGTAACAACTAACTAAAACTACATGCAAATGTTACCAATGATTTCTACAACCATTGGTAACTACTAACTAAAACTACACGCAAATGTTACCAATGATTTCTACAACCATTAGTAACTACTAACTACAAGCAAATGTTACCAATGATTTCTACAACCATTGATAACAACTAACTACAACTAAAACTACAAGCAAAATGTTACCAATGATTTCTACAACCATTCGTAACAACTAACTACAAGCAAAAAGTTACCAATGATTTCTACAACCATTGGTAACTACTAACTACAAATAAAACTACAAGCAAAAGTTACCAAGGATTTCTACAACCATTGATAACTACTAACTACAAAAAAAACTACAAGCAAAAGTTACTAATGATTTCTACAACCATTGGTAACAACTAAAACTACAAGCAAAAGTTACTAATGATTTCTACAACCATTAGTAACAACTAACTAAAACTACATGAAAAAAGTTACCAATGATTTCAACAACCATTGATAACTACTAACTACAACTACATGCAAAAAGTTACTAATGATTTCTACAACCATTAGTAACAACTAACTAAAACTACATGCAAAAAGTTACCAATGATTTCTACAACCATTGATAACAACTAACTACAAATAAAACTACAAGCAAAAGTTACTAATAATTTCTACAACCATTGGTAACAACTAAAACTACAAGCGAAAGTTACTAATAATTTCTACAACCATTGGTAACTACTAACTAAAACTACACGCAAATGTTACCAATGATTTCTACAACCATTGGTAACTACTAACTACAAGCAAATGTTACCAATGATTTCTACAACCATTGATAACAACTAACTACAACTAAAACTACAAGCAAAATGTTACCAATGATTTCTACAACCATTCGTAACAACTAACTACAAGCAAAAAGTTACCAATGATTTCTACAACCATTGGTAACTACTAACTACAAATAAAACTACAAGCAAAAGTTACTAATAATTTCTACAACCATTGGTAACAACTAAAACTACAAGCGAAAGTTACTAATAATTTCTACAACCATTGGTAACTACTAACTAAAACTACACGCAAATGTTACCAATGATTTCTACAACCATTGGTAACTACTAACTACAAGCAAATGTTACCAATGATTTCTACAACCATTGATAACAACTAACTACAACTAAAACTACAAGCAAAATGTTACCAATGATTTCTACAACCATTCGTAACAACTAACTACAAGCAAAAAGTTACCAATGATTTCTACAACCATTGGTAACTACTAACTACAAATAAAACTACAAGCAAAAGTTACTAATAATTTCTACAACCATTGGTAACAACTAAAACTACAAGCGAAAGTTACTAATAATTTCTACAACCATTGGTAACTACTAACTAAAACTACACGCAAATGTTACCAATGATTTCTACAACCATTGGTAACTACTAACTACAAGCAAATGTTACCAATGATTTCTACAACCATTGATAACAACTAACTAAAACTAAAACTACAAGCAAAATGTTACCAATGATTTCTACAACCATTGATAACGACTAACTACAAGCAAAAAGTTACCAATGATTTCTATAACCATTGGTAACTATTAACTACAAATAAAACTACAAGCAAAAGTTGCCAATGATTTCAACAACCATTGGTAACAACTAAAACTACAAGCAAAGTTACCAATGATTTCTACAACCATTGATAAATACTAACTACAACTACATGCAAAAAGTTACCAATGATTTCCACAACCATTGGTAACTACTAACTACAACTAAAACTACAAGCAAAAGTTACCAATGATTTCAACAACCATTGGTAACAACTAAAACTACAAGCAAAGTTACCAATGATTTCTACAACCATTGGTAACATCTAAAACTAAGTGCTACATGCAAAAAAGAAAGAAAAAGAAAGAACTTAAATAATTTACAAATTATGTTACAACTATTGGTTTCTACGAAAGAAAAAAAGTACAAACGATATCACAGCTATGGAGTCCTTGGTTGCAGTTCGTTTGCAACTCGCTCTTGTTCGATTTTTTAGTTAATTATTACAATAATACATTTTGATCGTATTTACCATATTTATACAGAATATTTTCAAAAAATATGAAAAAAAAAATTTTTTCTCAAAACTGAATTTATGATTTCACGCCACTTCCTGGCATTTCATTATATTTACATATATATATATGTGAAACAAAACAACCCAGCTCAATTTTTCCTATTGCTTTTCAGCGGAATTTTCCTTTTAAATTCCGATAAAAGTCGTAATAATTTTTTTTTAAAAAAAGGTGATTATTTTAAGTAGAAATAATAATGGCCTTCGTGCACGATCCAATTATTTACTCTATAATTATGGTCACCAAGTGGAAGATTATAATTATATATATGCACACACAGGGGGGAAATTTTCTTATAGTCCAAGAAGTATTTGCTTTCGACTCAAGTTTGCCCTTGAAAATATATTTCAATTTATTATACACACATATATATTTTATATATATGTAAAGTAACGAAAAATCGAAAATAAAACAATATAAATAGATATTTCATTTCCGTTTTAAAAAATGTATTTTGAAAAAAAATAAACGTAAGGAATAGAAATATAAAAAATGTGCAGGATAATAATAAGAAAAAAGTATAAGATTAAACAAGGAAGTAAAGAGAAAGAGGGAAATCAAGGTTCGTCCAAGATTTTTCATTTTTTTTTTTCCTTTAAGAAGGAAGGAAGGAAGAAAGGAAACTCTGGTCGTCCATGAGTTTGCAAAATACATTATAATATAGTGGATATATAGAAAAACCACAATGTAGTGGCCCGCGGAGCCGCAACTGCGCAATTCTTATACAAGAATGTGGTTATATATCATAATCAATCGTGATAATATTAAACATATTTTCATTAATTGAGGAACCTTCCTTTTATTTATATTTAATTCAAAAATTTAGTTTTAGTAAAAAAAAAAATTTTTTTAATTATTACTTACAAAAAGGTATGTACAATTATTAAACTCATTCTAGAAGCCAATGACAAAATTTATATAACTGTCAGTGCAGTGAAATAGAACCTAATCAAAATTGACACGAACATAACAATTCTTAAGTTACGATTTTTTTTTTGCCCGCGAACCGATATATATATATTTCATAAAGAAGTAGTTAAAAATAATTATTACTCATAGCGCAATACTCGAATATATTTATATGGTTGACTTTTTCCTTATTTTCCATTATCAAAAAATATTCTGAAATTGAGAATATATCTTTGGTAATTTTAGAAAAATATTTACATTTTTTTTTATTAATTTAGTATACTTTACTCTTAAGAATATTTTCTATATTTAAAACATTCTTATTTTAAGAGTAAAATAAACTGATTTAAATAATAAATTATGTAAAAAAATATATTTCTAAAATAAATTCCATTTTATTCTCAATTTTCGAATATTTTACTATTTTATTATACTTTTTTTCGATATATTAAATTAATAATAATTTAATAGTTGACATTCCTAACATGTGACAGGTCATTTCAACTCTGTTTGCTCTATTTCACTTGACGCGTTACTTTTATTGCGGTATGAAGGAAAAGGCGGGTGGCAAATTGCCAATATGTGACATGTGGAAAACCTGTCTATAGTGTACACGAGAGATCGTGAAATTCATACTAATTGAAAAGCTGATGAAACTATTCTTTGAAATGACTCGTCGAATTTCACGCCAGTATAATAGAGCGATGACACTGAAAATTGTCTTTGAATTTTTTTTTTTTTTTTATATATACTCAATAAGATATTTACAAATATCATATAGCCATCAGGAAATCCTTGATGAAAATAAGAGAAGAAAAATTCAATATATTTATAATAATGCAAATTTCTGAACTTGACTTGTCAATAAAACCTTAGGTTTCAGAATAGAAAAAAAAATATATTATTTAACCTACAATATTGAAAAAAAATATTTCCAACTAACAAATATTAACTAACTAATTTAATTTATAATCTAAAAATTATATTTCAAAATATAATAATAATAATTTGAAAAAATATATCGAAAAATAGAAATGAAAAAAAAAATTTACACATGTTCACACGTTTCGGTGATTTAAAATCAAGTTGATTGTTTTTAAGGTGTGTACTTGGCAGAGACATGAATGCACCAAAGAGGTGCGAGAGCAAGTAAAGGTGGATAAACGCGTCAAGAATTGAAAAAGAATTTTTCCTGCAAATGAATCGGCAAGCATGTGTATGAATTGCTATGCGTAACCAACTCAAAGAGCAAATGTGCGCGATTGGAAATAATAAAATATACTGACGTTAAATTCAATTTATTTCGCATAAAGTAAAAAAAAAAGAAAAAAAAAAATTGTTAAAGTGCAATTTCATTGAAATTGTGAATTCAACCAATTGAAATTAATCGAATAAGGAATATTTTTACAATCTACTCTTAAGATAAAGTAATAGATTTTCACACACTTCATTATTTATAAAAAAAAGAAGATGAAATCCATAGAAATGAATTGAAAAAAATAATTTCTTTCAAAAAAAACATAACATTTTTGGAACTAAAAATTCTTTAAATTTAAAAATATTAATTATAATAATAATAATAATGATAATAATAAAATATTAAAATATTAATAAATATTAATATTACAAAAAAATATAAATTATATTAATAGCATGGGAATTCTTTTAAAAAAATTCTTTTCCAATCCTTGATAAAAAAATTATAATCATCGAGATATAATTTAATTAAAAACAGTAAATTACAAAAAAAAATATTTACTTACGAATAATTTGACAGAAAATATCACTTGTTTGACTCACCTGAAACAGAAAATAATAAATACTTTATTAGAATCGTTATTAGAATTGAATTAAAATTAAAATTAACATTATTTTCAAATTCATTACTCATTAGTTATAAATTTTTGTATATTATTTTTTTTAACCAAAGTTTTATTTTGACAACAAAATTTTTAATTGTGCCAACAAAAAATTAATTTCCATTTTCTTATACACTGAAAACGAAAATTTATTTGATTCAAATACTCGATTACTTGAGTATTATCAAATAAATATTTATTTGATCCAAATAATTTTTATTTGAATTAAATAAATTGTATTTGAACCAATAATTTCTGTACTTGAAACAAATACCATTTAATTGACTCTTAAATAATAATTATTTGATACAAATAAATATTTATTTGATAATAGTCAAGTAATCGAGTATTTGAATCAAATAAATTTTTTTTTCAGTGTAAGATTAATATTGAGAATTCTATTGGAAAAATTGTTTTCCACTATTTCTGGAAAGAAAAATTATTTGAGATAAAATTTTCTAAAAATCATAAGAAATTTTTCCAATAAAGAATAATTTTTTTATTTTATTTTTTTTTTTAAATTGAGGTCAGTGGAAATTAGTAAATTTGTATGGTGCCTCAGGTTCTTGTGACATTGAAATGCGTCCCTGGTTTCGGGGCGACGCGACGTTGACGCTTTTTTTATATATATATATATACTGCGTCAAGAATAATTTTAATCTATATGCGATGTGTATGGCCGTTTTTTCCCTTTAATCAAAAAAAATATACGCAATGTCTCATTATTTGAGAACGAGATCTGGAATACCTCTAATTATCTATAAGGATGGACCCTTTATATACAAAAGTGTCAACTCTGTTTTGACGACGTCGACGAAATATGTAGCAAAACCCTTATATATATATATGAAAGTCAAATGGAGGACTTTTCAAACTTTTTTCTTTTTTTTTCTTATTTTCAATCTCTCAGTTTTAGAAAACTTTGACGTCAGAAACTATATACATACACAAATACATACAAAGAGTTTTTCATTCTCTTCAGTTCAAAGGAAATCGTCATTATTCATTCATATATGAAAATAAAATTATAACATTCTAATTTTATAAATTTTTTTTTTACACTTTTTTATACATAATTTTGACTCGGGGTGATCGATATTATTTTTATTACGTGCTTCCGAGTGATAAATTAAAAATAATTCTAATAATAATAATAATTTTAATACATTAATAAAAATATAATTTAATAAATAATTTTATTTTTAATTTATATTAAAAAATACTGTTTTGACAAATTAATGGAATATTATAATTAAGTAATTATTTTGATTTTAATTACTTAATAATTTTAATTGAATACTAAAATGTAATTTAATTAAAATTTCGACTTCAATGATAAAAAAAAAAAACGTTTATTTAAAGACATATTTGGTGGTTTTTATCATCATTTCATATTTATAATGCACAGTTATATTTATCACAAAGTAAATCGGCGAGTCTGATATCTAGTTTGCAATTAGGACCTCCTCGTGTTCACATAACTTGATGACACGTGTCAGACGATTTCTATCGAGAGATGAGATACACGTGTATCCGAAAATTGGTTTCTTATGTTTTTATATACTATATATCTTTTCGCTATATACCTGTGCATCATAAACGAATATGATGCTGAATAGACATGATTCGATCATAAAATCTATTTATTTTTTCATCAAAAAAAAAACAAAATAAAAATTTTATCACTATATAAAATTTTTTTTTCAACAAAACTTGTCTATCTTCGCGGATGTTAATTTCAAATTTCTATTTAGCCGAATTATATACAATTTTTATTTGAAACAAATTCATAAAAAAATTTCCTTTTTTTTATTTATTTAATAATTATTTATTCATAATAATAATAATAATAATAAATTTAATTACTATTGCATTTTCAATTATTAAATTTATTAATTCAATTATTGTTATAATTATCAAATATTTCCAAAAATTTTTTTTTCCTTCAAATTTTGAAAGAAAAAAACACCCTAAAATTTTATTTTAAATTAATAATTTATTTTGAAAATTGATTTTCGGAAAATTTTATTTTTTTCTAAAACATGTGGGCGTAAAAAAAGAGGGTATATCTTCAATAAAATATAAATCGTGTAGACATATAGACAGCTCGATATGTACCTATATTCTCTCTGTGGCTCTTAATGAGCTTTTCTTGAAGAAAGCAGCAACTACTTATTACGAAGATTGTAGACTCTATTTTGTACCTTGTTCTTCCCACCGTTACAATTAGACTATACCAGAAATGAGGGGCAATATATATATATATATATATATATAGAAAGAGAGAAAATGGGGAACAAGGTGCAGAAGATAGAAAGAAGATATCTTTTTGAATGGCAGATAGAGGGAGGCAAAGAGTGAGATAGAAAAAAAAGAGAGAGGGGGAGAGAGAAAAAAGAGAGAGCAAAAAAGGGAGAAAAAAAGATAAAAATATGTCACGAGAGAAAACGTCAAAGTGAAAAGATAGAGGGGTGTTCTTCAGGAAGACTCGGACACCCGTTGAGAGGTATATTAGACGGTGGTCGTCACGACGCCATCATCACAACCCTACAAGTCGTGCTACGAGTATCCAAGTTAACCTTATCTTTGATATCAACGCAACATTTCAAGGTGCGTGTTTAAAAAAAAAAAAAAAATTTCAATTTTTTTCCATATTTTTGCAAATTTTATACATAGTGATTTTTTTCCTATACTTGCAAATTAAAATTACATTTTGTCATTCCGATTTCAAAAATTAAAAAAAGAATTTTGCAAAAATAGATTTTGCATAACTGACTTTAAAGAAAAAAAATCAAGACTACATTTTTCGAAATTAAAAATTTTGTAATTAAAAATATTTTTCCTTCAAAAATATGCCTTTTCTTCTATCTACAATAACTCGAATGGCAAAAAAGAAAATATCATACAATAAGTTAAAATATTCTTTATGACTATATTTTATAAATTTATTTATGTGTAAGCAAAAAATTTCAAAGCAAATATAAATTTTTTCTATTATCTGTATATATATATAAAAAAATAAAAAAAGCAAATATCTGAATCATATATATCTGACAAGAATAGGCAAAATATACTCATGCACTTGAAAATCTATTTTTATTACTTGTAGTTGATTAAAATGGAAATGGAAAAAAAGTGCTATTTCCGGACGCGTCAATTTAGAAAACACTTTTATAAAAATGGAATAATAAACATTTTACTAATGATCAATTTTAAGTTTTATGTACATGTGTATTTATGTACATACGGACTAATGGATATATAAGCGCGAGCAAGTAATATTTATTCTAATGAATATACATTGTTCACTGAATAAATAGAAGTTAAATGGCATTTGCAGTGAAAGAATATAAATGAATTAATGACGCGAACAAGCTTTCTTATTCTCACTACCACAAAAAAGTACATTCCAATATTTAAAAAAAAAAATCAAATCTTAAAAATTTTTAATTAAATTTAAAAAAATTTTTTGTTTTTTAAAAATTATTATTTAAAAAAGTACAAAAATACACATATTATTTCCAACTTTTTTATATAATGTATATATAAGAAATTTATTTATACCATAAAGGAATGCAAATAATGATAATGAACGGGCATTTTAAATATGGAAACAATCTTGTCGTGCATTATATAGCAAACAAATATTTGCTAACACGTCTCGAGTTTATATTAAATTCTATATACGATGTGTGTGTGTGTGTATATATGATAGGATAATGTTTCTATATAACGGTGATGTACTTTTGCATCGACAACAATTATAAAATATACAATATAATATTTATCGCAATAAATATTCGTGCGAACCAACACAGAGGAAAGATAACGCGACAAAAATAACTATTTAAAAATTATTACATAAGAATTTCTGATAAGACCCTTTTTTTTTGTTAATTATCATTATATATTTATTAATTAATGACATTATCAGTCATACATTTTTGCAACTAAAAAACCAATTAAAAAATTTATTAATCTATAACTGCACATTTCTTATCATTTAATTTAAAAATAATAATTATATTTTTTGTTGAATTTATTATTATTATTATTATTATTAATTATTGCTATTATAATTATATTTATTTGAAAAATCCATGAAAAAGAAAACTACTCAGAAAAATTGTGCGGAGCATTTAATTATTTGTCTCTAATAAAACGGAATCGTGCAAATAATTTGACAAGAGGAATAAAAATGCAGAAAAAAACATGACTTGAACAATAGAATATGCGTCCAGCTGTCTGCAGATACTCGACTGTCAACTAATTATCACTTAATTCCTTTCAATTGAATCTGATAACGTAAAAAAAAAAGGAACATGTCCAAGTTTCCAATGAAATTAAATTAACCAGAGTGTAACAATTTTTAACCCTTTAACACGTAATTATTATCTATTTCAAGATCATATAAATGTAAATTTTAATTTACATTCATTTTTTTTTCTAATTTTGGAGAAAAATCCTATAAGTTAATTTTTTTTTTGTAAGTTAACAATACGAAAAGAAAAATTTTACAGTTTTGACAAATAAGAAGAATAATTTTTTTTTTTGCTTCCGAATAATAAAAAAAAAAAAAAAAAGATGACTTGGCAAAATATATTTCCAAAAGGAAATAAATGACAGAATAGATTATAATTAAAACAGAAAACGTCACTACTATTTTACGTAGCAAATAATAATTGACTTGGGGAAATGATATAGAAATAAACACGAGAATTTGAACTATGGAACGTGTGTTTTTGTCCATTTTACTACGAAACATGAAAGAACTTGGGATCATACGATAATAATATGTACATGAGTAATAATATTTGGAATTATATTTTCAAAAAACTATGGGGCATCAATTTTTTTTTTAATCAAATTAAATTCATCAATTTTTTAATAAAAAAATAATTTTTTTTTTAAATTCACAAATATTAATATTTAATTATTAAA